TTTTATATGAATGACTCAGCGGTAAAATCAAACAAAATGTTCTTCATAGAAAAGTGCGTTTCATTAAGTCAGGTTTTTCTCTTAGAAAGCGGATCCATCTCTTTTGATAAAGATCAGATCCTGATGTGCTAGCAGTTTAAAAAAATCGGTTCTAACCATCTTATACAATATGTCGTTCATGTTATAAAACGCATTTCTAATATTTCGGATTAATCGGCACTATCACAAATTATATGGATCTAGTGGCCATTAAAGAACTCATAGAAATCAAAACGTGTTTTGCCTTCACTTGAAATTTTGTAAAACAGTAGACACAAACCTCTGATTACATACCAGTGACACATTTAAAACATAGTGAAATACGAGTGAAGTACTGCGAAAGTACGGTGAAGTATAGAACTACAAGGGAGTACGAAGGGAGTACAAGAGAAGTACGAAGGAAGCACAGGGGGAGTACAGGGAAGCACGAGCGAAGTACGCACTCCTAAAGTCTCGCTTTTCCACCCTTGAATTAGAGTGTTTTATTACCGAAAATCTATAACCTTCAGATAGACGCACAGGATTCGTGGCATCCCTAAAATCGATCGTATGAATAAATAGGCAATTTAATTTTATCAATCCCTACTTACACTTGCTCAAGAGAGAGTTCGCGAGAGGACCCACCAACTTTGTATGAGACCGGCTGCGGCTAAAAGTTTGATTTTCGATTTAATTATCTCAAACGATAGACCATCATGTGACTACTTCAAATACAAAATACTAGCTCTTTCTGACTTTTCTGTGGAAAATGCCAAAGCATACAAGCAGCACACCCTCCGGGACTTGGTCAAAAAATCGCTATTTTTCACTGCTCGGGGTATTTTGCACTTTTCTCTGCATCGAAAGATTCATTCAAGTTCAGAGACGTCTCGAAAGATGCAGAAATGTTTTCTCTTCAAAATTCAGTAATTTAGTATATTCTGCAATACCATTCACCAAGTGATAATTCTAATATACGAGCAAAAATGACCATTGGTTAAAATGAACATTTTCCAGAATATTGACACTAGCCATGCTAGATCATGTTGTCCCAAAATAATTTTTTTAATTTTCTGAAAGCCCTTGAAATTCTGCATCGTTTAAGGTATAACTCAAAAGATTAAAATCTTGGTAGCAAAAGTTAGTCCAGACCACAAATATTGATGAGTGATGGATATCTCTATCTATTCGGATCCATAATCAAAATACAACATATTTTATGTTCATTCGAATCAAAAATATGGTTTCAGATTCATAATCAGCATAAAAAACTGAGTATAAAAATGTGGTTTAATAAATATAAAGTGAGTGAAGTGAAAAATAACCTGTCGAGCACAAATAACTGCAGGATAGCTCACAGTACACTTTTATAGACCTCTCAATAGCTCTTGATGAGAAGATATGGAACGTAAAGTTTTATCTCTTTTAGAATCCCTGGTGTGTTGGCTTCAAACGTCCCTATTTATATGTTTTTAAATTTTGTACTATTTTTGAGAAAAGCGGCCTTTTCTCGATATTAGTAGCACAAGCATGGAAAACTGTGAAAAATGGAGTCTATGTTTGATAGTTTTTATCATCATACCTTATTCTGATAGCGAAATGAATAGCATATTCGGAATCAGCATGAAAAAGTACGTCGAAAAACATATTTTCTAGAAAACTATTTTTGCATGGAAAAACGCACCTGTGATCCCCTCATCGATTTTTTTCCAAAATTTTGTCCGTAGTCCCCCTGGGGTCGATTTTTCATGGAAAAAAAAATTCCTAGAAAATATGTTTTTCGACGTACTTTTTCATGCTGATTCCGAATATGCTATTCATTTCGCTATCAGAATAAGGTATGATGATAAAAACTATCAAACATAGACTCCATTTTTCACAGTTTTCCATGCTTGTGCTACTAATATCGAGAAAAGGCCGCTTTTCTCAAAAATAGTACAAAATTTAAAAACATATAAATAGGGACGTTTGAAGCCAACACACCAGGGATTCTAAAAGAGATAAAACTTTACGTTCCATATCTTCTCATCAAGAGCTATTGAGAGGTCTATAAAAGTGTACTGTGAGCTATCCTGCAGTTATTTGTGCTCGACAGGTTATTTTTCACTTCACTCACTTTATATTTATTAAACCACATTTTTATACTCAGTTTTTTATGCTGATTATGAATCTGAAACCATATTTTTGATTCGAATGAACATAAAATATGTTGTATTTTGATTATGGATCCGAATAGATAGAGATATCCATCACTCATCAATATTTGTGGTCTGGACTAACTTTTGCTACCAAGATTTTAATCTTTTGAGTTATACCTTAAACGATGCAGAATTTCAAGGGCTTTCAGAAAATTAAAAAAATTATTTTGGGACAACATGATCTAGCATGGCTAGTGTCAATATTCTGGAAAATGTTCATTTTAACCAATGGTCATTTTTGCTCGTATATTAGAATTATCACTTGGTGAATGGTATTGCAGAATATACTAAATTACTGAATTTTGAAGAGAAAACATTTCTGCATCTTTCGAGACGTCTCTGAACTTGAATGAATCTTTCGATGCAGAGAAAAGTGCAAAATACTCCGAGCAGTGAAAAATAGCGATTTTTTGACCAAGTCCCGGAGGGTGTGCTGCTTGTATGCTTTGGCATTTCTCACAGAAAAGTCAGAAAGAGCTAGTATTTTGTATTTGAAGTAGTCACATGATGGTCTATCGTTTGAGATAATTAAATCGAAAATCAAACTTTTAGCCGCAGCCGGTCTCATACAAAGTTGGTGGGTCCTCTCGCGGACCCTCTCTTAAAGTTTCGTATGAGGAATGTTTCACACAGGCTGCTTTTTCATCACTTCGAAAATGGTCCAAAGTCGAAATTTTCTACTACATTCCATACTAGAGTATTTTGTTTTGGAATCCCAGCCCAAACCCCTGTTCAATCTACCTATATTTCCAACTGACTATATGATACGTATCTATAATTGTGTCTATCTCTAACCATTTATCCTTATAACAAACTCTCCACATCAATCTATTTCCGACTTCCTACAACTAGTTTTAACTCTTCATACTGATCCCTAACACCTTATTTCTATATCAAAATCCTTATGTCTATCCTTAACCCCTTAAGGGTGTGGGTGTGGGTGTGGATGATGGTCTTTTCCAATTGCCAACCACACCCATACCCACACCCATACCCACACCCATACCCACACCCACACCCGCACCCTCAGTATAAAAACCTACATGGAAACATACGCAAAAGACATTGGACCAAGATCGAATTAGTGAGCAGGAAAGGTGCCGAATTGTAAAAAATCATCGATTTCTGACCAAATTGTCAGTTTAGGGTCCCAAAAATACTGAACTTGAGCTTTTACAGTCGTCATTTTATATGCGTTGGATAGATCATCAATTTTTGTGTGTAAAAACATATGTTTGACTATTTTAGACTTGCTCTTAACATAAGCTAACCATCAAAACTAAATGTACCGCAGAATGCAAGCCTAACAGTAAAAGTTAGTTTGCCCAGAGAAAACTTCATATTTTTGAAATTTTAAGGTAATATCCGTAATCAGCGTGAAATTCTGCATCGATTGATGTGCTTATTGCAATAAACAGAGACAAAAAGTTGTCGATCAATTCCTAAGGGGGAGGAAAGGGGTACAGGGTCGAAAAAATCAATTAGACGAATTGCAAAAAACTAAGTCGTAAAAAATGTTCTCCATGGTTGACTTGCTATGTCTAAGTTGTTTTTATGCGAAAATCATGGGGGGGATGAAAAATGGCCTTATCGCCACTTATTTGTTCTTGTAAATTTCTGTGCATTCCTAAACTTTTATAAATAAACGCTAAGAATAAGGATATTAACCCTCGGATGGCGTTTACGTTTTATCACACGAAAGACGTTTTTGGGTCCAGCCGGACTCATATGTAAAGGAATAAAAGGGATCCGATTTTTCTGTGTTATATTCGGTAGACATCGATGAATTGAAGACATTCATCATGACCTTTTCACATACGGGTAAAGTGCCATAGATCTTGACGTGAAAACATCTGCAGCATACAAGACACTTTTAAGAAGGAATTACAATGACATTAGGAATTTAAAATATTATTTCAAGAAACTTCAGATCTGATTACACCGCAAGCTAGTAAATGCTCTCGCATATATCAATATATGTAGTTACTCATAGTAAAAACAGCAAGAGTTTCTTGCTTGTTTATTTTTATTTTTAACAACAACTAGAATGTGGTAAAATATGATGAAAACAATATGAATAATGAACTGCTTTAACTGTTCTTGCTAAGAACTACTTATACGTTTATGTCTAAAGTTTTAACCAGTTGAAGCATTCGTTTGACATGATTGGCAGATGATTATTCTTTTACTGATAGAATGAGAATTGCAAACGTTGTTTTGACATGTATCACAAATTTGCCTAACTTTACGTCCAGGATGTGTCGGGCAAAGAAAGCATCTTTTCTTTGCCTTCACAAAATCATTATTTTGACGTTGAGTTATTGAAATTTCTGGGTTTAGTTCGTATCCAAGAGATAGTAGTGCAGGTTTCATTTTCGATGATAGATGAGATTGTTCAATACAACGTTCATTGTGAGACTTTGTAAGGGATTTGCTCAATTGCCCTAAAAAGAGACGACGTACATGTGTCTTTCTAACGTTCCAATCAGAATTATGACACAGTCATATCGTAATGGCGTTAATGGCAGCAACATCAATCATGTTAAAAAAGACCATCATTGGCCATCTGGGGCTTATCCGACGAACAGTGTAATTATTGATACATTGGTCTACAAGATCAACTCCAGTTTTGGATTGACTATAATCATGGATCATAACGGAAAGTTTCTTTTCATCATCTAATACTTCAGGATAATCATGTAATGTTGATAATAAGATAACCGGTGGTCTCTTCTCTTTAGCTTGGTAAGACAAGATTCTTTACGGTCCATAGAAATAAAACCATCATGAATACAGTTGTTTCCGAATAATTTTCAATTCATTAGGAACAAAAGCATGTTTATGATTGACGACACCAATTGAAGACATTTTGTGTTCTAGTCGAGCTTTGGCCAAGTTCAAATCGGAGAAGTATCGATCATAAGTAATATTACGACCTTGTTTTATGTTATTGGATAATTGATCTACTAATCGTAAAACAACATTTGTGGCAAGATTTCGTTGAATTACATTGCCTATTTTTCCAGAATATAATTCGAATGCTAAAACATATCGACTTTCAACATCATATAAAAACCAGAATTTTAATCCATATTTTGCCTGCTTTTTAGGCATATATTGTACAAAAGAGCAACGAACTCTAAAAGGAACTAATTGTTCACCGACAATTATATTCTCACTTGGTATAAAATGTCGAGGAAGTTGCTTGACAAAACATTCGAATATAAATCGAATTACAGCTAGACGGTCGGATTTGTCACGACGTTGACGATCATCAAATCGAAGAAATCGTAAAAGATCTTTGAAACGGTGTGATGACATTGTAGCATGATATATTGGAAGGCTATCACTAATATTCCATAATTAAGTAATTGATTCATGATTACTATGGCAAATACCCGATTGAATTAATAATCCGAGAAACGCTTCTAATTCGATACGGTCAAGATCTTTCCATTGGACCAATTTTGACTGACTAGCACCACCATTTGATCGCCTTTGTTTTTGTTGATTTATGTATCGCTTGGCATATTTGTTTGTTTGAAGAACGATTTCATTTAAAATCTCATCGGTAATGAAAAACTTGAATGCATCCATTATTGTCTGAACTGCAGTAACAGCACCTGGTTTCTTCTTCATTATATTGATGACATATAAACGACTATGAGCTGCAGTTGTTTGTGTTGTCCATAAAACACCATTTTTTTCTGCTGATTCTGGTTGATTATTTATAACTGTATCATCATCAGTATTGTCAGAATCTGATGAATCATCTTTTTTTGAAATATGTTCATCAGTGGATGTGTCATCGGATTCCGTTTCAGCACCTAAATAATCCGGATCAGAATTCGACTCCTCATCCTCAGAAATATTTTTGTCATATTCATTAGTACTATTTGTCATAAGAACATCTCGAATTCTCTTTAGAATTGGTTTACTTGCCATTTTTTATTTAAAATACCAGGAAAATGTTAGAATTTTCGCACCTGAAAAGCTCTTGAAGTTTTCAGACTTGATATGTTTTCAAGGAAGAAAACCCGAAAACGGTCATCATGACTAGAAGCAATGGCGAGAATGTTTCGATCAAAATATAACAAAATCTTTGAGACACATGAAAACAAAATTCGAATCACTATTGCAGGTGACTAATCAACGAGTCGCCTGGAAGGTAAACTCTAGAAACGACAGATGGCAGGGCCGACAAGAGTAAAAATCATCTGTATAACACGAAGGGCGGTAGGGGGTCCATGAGGACTCACCTGTTAATTTTTTTCCTTTGAGACCTGTACGTATAGCATGATATGGCTTCTATGTGTCATTAGTAGACTAGCAATTAGAAAGAAGATCGCTCCGAAAAGAGCAGATATTTTGATAGCAGTAAACGAAAAACAGTCTTGTGGGTCCGGCCGGATCCACAAAAACCATCCGAGGGTTAAATATATCAAGCATTATTATCTATTGCTTCATGTAGAAAGAAGATGAATCACCATTTTTTTCCAGTTTTCAGTTTTCTTTTGAGGGTGGAAAAACTACGCACTATAAGTACATTGTTTGTCTGGTCGAATGTACATTATGATGAAGAGAACTTGTTAATGCGATCTATATTTGTATATGAACGTGACAGGGCTATCACAATAAAAGAGTAGATTAAAATGCACACACAGAAATGAAAAGTATCAGCCAAAAGATGGGTATTCTGAAAGAAAACGCTTTGAATCATGTTCTCAATAATGAAAGTCCAGCTCAGAATTGTTTTTGAGAACTTGTTTGGTTGTTAATATAGCTAATAAGGTTTATATAGATAATTCGATATAATGTAAATTAAGGTGCAGTTGTGCGTGTGATAGTTGGGATTTGCTGGGCAAATAGACTTGTATACTGATTCGCACACGCTCACTCATATTCACTTGAACGTGTGCACTCCCAAAAGCAGATCTACAGTGGCACGAAGTCAGTGGATATTAGCAAGGAATAATGGAGAGTCATTCGAAAATTCAAATGGATCGCACTGTTGTAATACATTTGCACGCACGCTCTCATGTGTATTCGTGCACATTTTCTGGTGGAATTCATTGTTGGAGTAGTAATTTTCTGGAGCATTAGAAACACAAAGGTTCAACATGTCAAGCAATTTGATTGTGACGGTGTAAATCGGTTTTTTTCGAACGATCGATCTCCAAATGCCGTACATTTGAATATGACACCAGAGAACTATGTAATTCGGTCTTGTTCACCGGAGACTAAAACGGAGGCAGTGTTCTTATTTGATTATGAAGTGACACAACCTGTTGAGTAAAAGCAAAGAACTGTATGTATTTGATAAAAGCATAAACCACTTTCACCAAACACGATGGAGTAATCATGGAGTATTTCTAGAACAGAGAGCATTGTTTGACTATAAGTTCGTATCGATTTTTGAAAGTGGGTGTGGTTGTGGATGTAGGTGTGGATGTGGTTGTGGTTGTTAATGTGCGTGTGTGGGTGTGGGCGGGTTATGGTCATCCCTTCAATTACGCCCACACCCACACCCGCACCCGCACCCGCACCCGCACCCACACCCACACCCACACCCACACCACCCATCCACACCTACACCCCACCACACCCCACCTACACCCATACCCTTTGTTTTCTTGACTCATGCTATATTTATCGTGGCAAAGTTACCGGAAAAAAGACTCACAAATTACGATCATATTGTTACTCTTCTTTCAGGTGCATCAAAGCCAGTCGCAACTAGATCCGCCTCGGCTGTGCCAAAACCCAAATTGGCGACAATTAAATCTTTAGCCTCACCGAAAGCTGAACCATTGCCCAAAGAAGGTATGTCGAATTCAGTATCAGAGAGCGAAAGCGAACCGAACCCGAACTGATATTTAAAAAACAAAGTCGAACCCGACCGAACTCGAACCACTTTTCCAAGAAATAAAGTTGAACCAAGCCGAACTAGAGCTAATTTTTTGAGAGATAGTTGAATGCAGTCTAAGGTTAGATGGAAAATAATTAATCGAACTATCGCCTATTTGAAAAGATATTATGTCATCGGCGATGATAAAATAAACTTTATTGATTATTGCACATGCCGAATTCAATCTCCGTGTATAGCAGTCTTGTTTCTATCTTCATTAAACTTATACTATCGTGTTTATTAAGCAGCTTCACTTCTGGGTAGCATAAATCTTTATTCTTTTCTTTTGTAAATTCCGGCATTTTTCTAAAGTATGAAGAAAATTGTAGTTAGTGGTGTTACAGTAATATCAGCACTAAAAGACTGCTGATTCTCACATAGGAATGTAAAAAATCATTTTAATCTGCCAATGTAGAAAATAGAGTTAATTGCCGCAAATATGCACTCTAATTTGACACCTGTGACCACCTGAGAAGCAGGTTTTGACTTATAGTCTACTCTTAATAAAGGGAGACTCATGACACTCGAATCGAACCGAACCGAACCCGAACCAATTTTTCAAAAGTGAATCCGAACTGAATCGAACTTGATGCAGAAAAACTCGGTTCGGTTCGCTCTCTGTTCAATGCACTTAAAGTCGCTCATTGAAAAACATCACGATATAAAGATGTAGATGGAAAGAATAATCATACACAAATAGATTCACACCCACATCCTTTTCCAATATCAATAATTTTCTCACCATATTAGTATTTTCAAAGATAAAAGACTTTTGCACGACTTACTGACGGTATACATAGATTTGTGGAAGTCGCCATTGTGGTTCACTCGGTCTAAACCTCCACTACAAAGTGTTTCAAACCAATGTGGTACTCTTTAGCGGTGGAAAACTCTGATTGAGTTCTCTAACTCAGTTTGAGAGTAGAAGTCGTTCATCGAAAGTCTTGCTTCTTTGTAGGATTATAGCAATTTTCCAAAGCTGGTCGGGTTCAAAAATGGAAGGATAGAAACACAAATCAAATAGACTGCAGCCAGGAATAGAGTGGACCAGTTTTGTTCGTTCTATTTCCAGTGATTGTTAGACTTGACTTAATAGGATGAAAAGCTATCAAACTTGGCAAAAGAATTCAATATTTTTAATTGATCACCGATTATTTTGAGATCTTCGAACTATACTTGATACAATTGAGCAATCCCTACAAATAGAACCATCTCAGCTGGTTAAATCTCACCTGAAAATGAAATGGCGTTTGAGACTTCTATCTGCGGAAAAATTAGCATCTTTGAGGCAACATTTCTGCACATCATGCATCCCTAAATGAAATCCTATTTTCCCCAAGCAAAGAGATTGTAGTCTTTCCATGGTCCTCTATGACACCAATATCTTTGATGCTGAGCCTGTTCAAACTTGCCTCTAGTGCCCTCATATCGTGAGTCCGTACTGGGAATTTCTGATCGTTTTCATGTTCAAGAACAGCCATGTTTTATTATCCGCTTGTTGTCTTGTCAAGATTTATTCGAAATCATTCTCAATCCCGCAGAAGAATATCTATCTCATTCTTCCCTTTGTCTATCTCACTTTTCTTCATTTCTACGAACAACTAGCTCGTGCAGCTGCAGTTACTCTTTCTATCTTCGATGTTCAAGGTACGCCTTCTCGCCTGCCACAGTGGTACTCATGAAGTGTGAGTAACAATCAATACAGCAAATGCCCCTAATATCGACAGCAAAAAATTGTCTCATCTTGTTTGAGTCAGTACGCACCTATTTTATATATGAAATAAAATATTTCTATATATGCATAATCCCTGGGTGTGGGTATGGGTATGGATGTGGGTGTGGGGGTGGGGGTGGGGGTGAGAGTGGGTGTGGGTGTGGGTGTGGGTGTGGGTGTGGGTGGATGTGGGCGTGGGTGTGGATGTGGGGGAGTGGGTGTGGGTGTGGGTGTGGGTGTGAGTGATAATACTAACACCCACATTCCACTCACATCCACCCACCCACACCCACACCCACACCCACACATCCACACCCACATCCACACCCACACTCACACATCCACACCCACACATCCACATCCACATCCACATCCACATCCACATCCACATCCACATCCACACCCACACCCACACCCACACCCACACACCCACACCCACACCCCACCCACACCCACACCCACACCCACACATCCACACCCACACATCCACACCGCACCCACACCCACACATCCACACCCACACCCCACCCACACCCATATTGTTCTCTGTTCTATAAAAAAATATACAATTCTAAATGCTCAATCTTTTCATAATTTATCATCTTAATACTTACTCTCAATTTTTTATCATCTCAATTCTTAATATTCTTGAATTCGCAGCATCTACAACTCCTTGATATTTATCGTCTTAATGCTTTCTTGCCAATTCTAAATGCTCAACTTTTTTATCATCTCAATTCTTAATTCCTAAAATTCTTAAATTTCAATTTTTGAATTCACCGTACCCACTATTATCAAATGTTTTGTACTCAATTTTGAATTTGTAGTATCTACAAATTCTTGATATCTAATAACTATAACAATCATTGACGTAACCACTATTATCAAATGTTTTTGTACTCACTATTGACAACTATGTACTCACCAACATCAATATTGCGATCCGCTACAATTCTGTTTTAATTTTTCCACATCATGATATAACCCTTTTCAATTCTTCCACAATGATACAATCCAAAACACATCATCAATCATTCGTTTCACATGTCATAATTTATATCATCAATTCGTTTCACATGTCATAATTTATATCATCAATTCGTTTCACATTTCATAATTTATATCATCAATTTGTTTCACACGTCGTAGCTTATACAACTTCTACAAGATTAAGACTATTTCATATTGCACTACATTTTTCTTTCTCCTTTGCTCCACTACTGTACATACGTTTTGTTCTCCTTTCATATGTTCTTTTTTCATATTTTCATATTTTCTCACTCTCATTAATCTGGGTCTAGCCTGATGAAGATAAAATTCGAAATGCGTTGCTACTATCATCCTTCTTTATTTATTATTTGAATAAACTATATCTATACATATTTTCCTTTATTCAATTTCTTCCTCAACTCATCACCAGATTTCTTCAGAAACAAAAAAAAATTATATATATATACTTCTATTATTTTAACTATATGTGAAACGATTTTCCTCTATTTTCCATAATTGTATTTTCGCAACAATCGATTCGAATCAACAAAAAAGAAAGTTATCGATGCTAAGTCATTGCATACCTGTCGTTCAACGTTTGTTTAAGACAAGATGATGATGGTGCAGAACTACAGATGAAAATTGAGATATTTATAACTGTTATGGAATATATTATAGCGAAAGAGTCATTTTGAGAACGTAGACTAGTATCTTAAATAGCCATTTGAAAAGAAAATGAAAAAATTCGATAGGAAAGAAGTATTATTAGATACACAATAGGAAAAGATTTCAAAGATGAGTTTGCATAAATGTGCGACTTCGAAAGACTGATGGATACAGATACGTTTGATAAAAATATAGCCATAGGTAGAATACGATAAATTGAGTAAATTAGACTAAGTAAAAAAGACACTTTAGAGTTAGAAATGTTCTGAAAAGTATTATGCATAATTAACGTGCGATTAGATAGAATGATTCGAAGTTGATACCAGACTCATGATGTACATACTCAGTTTTCAGAAAAATCGAAAAAATATACTCATACTCACTGATTATCAACGGAAGCTGAAACAGATGTATTACTACTACCACCAACTACACGAGATGTTCTTATTTCACTTATTAATGATGATAAAATTTTTGTTATTGATAAACTGAAAATACATTCATTTTGAGAAAGAAAGAACACTATCACATGTTACCTAGATGTGGTGGAATTACTGTATACTGATAAATGTCGATGAACAATCTTGCTTTTCATTGCTTCTTCATTGAGTGGCCAAACACCGGCTCTTCGAAAGCCACCAAAAACAACACTTGTTGAGAACGAAGTTGAAAGAAGTTCATTCAACAGTTTAGGAAAGTCCATTTTCCTAATTGTTTTACGTTGAGTTTTTCGAAAATACGATGAAACAATGTTTCGCCATTTGATTTTATCAGGACTATAAATGTATATATATTATTTCACTTCAAGAAAACTGTATAACTAGAGTCAGTGATCCCACGATTTATATTTTTTTCAGATATTGTTATGCGTTATTTTTTAATATCCATACGTTTTTATAGATAGTTATAAGGTGCAGGCAATTCGAATTTTCAATAAGGTGGGTGTGGGTGTGGGTGTGGTTGTTTTCTCACCCGCATCCGCACCCACACACTCGCACCCACACCCACACTCTTTTAGTTAAGCGCGCTGTGGGAAGATATGACACATAGAAAATCAAATGTTGTGTCAAAAGATATATCTGTTATTGTAGTCTTAAACAGTCTTAATCAACGTTGTATATAGCAAACTGTTTCAATATATGGGTTAAGTGAACTAATGGTGTAAATAGGGGAAATTTCTTTATCTATTAATAACTTCTCGGTTACCAATTACTATATGCGTTTCAAAACACCTATTAACGGAACAAAATGTGTTTTCACATAATTTTCACTATGCTGTACAAGATGACAATAATGGTTTCTTAAGACATCGACTTTGAACTTCCAGTCATTGAGGTGATGCGTTACGCGTACAAGCTGATATGTATCTTTGTTTTAGTTCCACCCAAAGTGGAAGCTCTGAAATCAGAAAATGATCAATCGTGTATTCTGGGTCAAGATACTCAGATCTTATGGAAGTTCAGTAGTATTGAGAAACCACAAATAACATGGTTCCTCAATGGTCAACCCATTCTAACAAATGATCGTTTTCAAGTAGCTCAGACTGATGATGGAACATCGAAACTATCGATTCGTCAAGCTGAACTTACTGACCAAGGTGTCTACACCACTAGAGCAACCAATTCTGTGGGTAAAGCTGAAGCTAAAACTACCTTGTCCATCGTTGTCAAACCCATGATCACAGTTGATCTTGATGATTCATTGCAAGCTATAAAAGGGGAAACTATGACACTCAAAATCGTCGCGAGTGGAACGCCGAAACCAGTCATTGTCTGGATGAAAGGAAACAATGAAGTCACATCCAATGATCGTATTCATGCAACAACACAGACTCGTAACTATGATGTAATATATACACTGATCATCTTGAATATACAACCAGAAGATCAAGGAGAATATTCAAGCAAGATCTTCAATGTTTGTGAATCATTAATATCCAATAAGTGCAAAATCACTGTTTCGAGTACGTCACCTTGATCTTTCTTGTTTTTGAATACACATGTCATTGTAGAATCGCCAGTATTTGTTATCAAACCGACAACAAAAAAAGTGCAACAAGGTGAGACAGTGTTGATAAAGACAGAGATCGATGGATATCCGACACCAAATATCAGTTGGCTTCTCAATAGCAAACGATTGGAAGTGGAAGAAGGTGTTCAAATGCAGTTCAATGCTATGACTAATGAAGCCATGTTATCCATTGAGAACGTCGATCTAGAACAACATGCTGGTTCAATTACTTGCCGCCTAGAGAATCAACATGGGAATCAAGAAGAAACTATTCGACTCGATATTCTCCTTGCACCAATGATTATTGTACAGTTACCTCAACAGCGAGAAACTGTAAGTGGACGAGATATCACATTGAAAGTGATCGCAAAAGGAACACCACGTCCATCTGCTCAATGGTTCTTCAATGATAAGCCTATTAACCCAGAGAATTCCTCGGTAGACGAAGCAAAAAATGAATATCAACTGTTGATCAAACGAGCAATAGTGGCACAGAGTGAAGGAACCTATCGAGTCGTCTTGAAGAATGACGTTGGTGAAGTACAGTCGACTCCATGTGCAGTTACAGTACTGGAGCCAGTACAGTTGACAAGAGTTACACCAACATCGAATGTAGTTGGCTTGAAATATGGTGAAACATTCGAGATAATTGTGGATGTTAAGGGAAAGGAAATACCGAAAGTTCAACTAACGAAAGATGGAAAAGCAGTGAAGTTCACACATGTGGAAAAAAACAAGATACACATTTTCAGTGGCTAGAGCACAGCTACAACATCAAGGCATATATATGGTGACAGCAAAGAATAAGATATCAACTATGCAGACGACTATCACTCTCAATGTTACTGGTGAGTTTGTCTGTATTTTACAACCAATTGTTGCAGTATACACCTATTTTACATTCTCATGGGGTGTAAATTTCTTAATCGTCCTTGGTTGTCATTGCATAGCTCGACTGTAGTTTAATTTTGACATTAGGGGTGTTACTTTACCTTTACTTTGTAAATAAAGATAAAGATTCACATTATCTTTATTTTATAAAGAATAAAGATGAAGAAATAAAGAAATCTTTATTTTTATAAAATAAAGATAAAGTAAATCTTCATATTTATAAAATAAAGATAAAGACATTCTTTATTTGTAAAAATAAAGTTAAAATAAAGAATAAAGATATATTTTTTCGTGTAATAAGTACATATGCAAATACCGTGTATAAGAACCGAATATGTTAACTAGTGTCCTTTCTTACCACCATCATCACTTCCGTATGTAATATCGTCAAAAAATAAGGACCACTCATGAAACGATATATGAGAAAAATGTTATTGCATATTATATTTAATTATATAATATGATCATTTTTGGTTAGGTACTTCAAAAAAATAAAAAAGAATAAGTTTTGATAGGAAAAAAATTTTTTATTCTTTACTTTATCTTCATTTTATACAGAATAAAGATTTTTTAATTTCTTTATCTTTATTTTTTAAATTTAAAGATTTTCTTTATCTTTATTCTTTATTATAAAGAAAATAAAAATAAAGTGACACCCCTAGTCGACGTACATATAGACTTGCCAATCGTCGCTCACAAGTTCGTAATACGTCGACTTTAAGAAGCATATTGTACGGAGTAAACTATTTCCATTGAATATCTGAATCTGTAGTAAAAGGGGTTACTACCTTGTAACCGATTTGTAAGTTTCACACCAATTCATAATTTCTGTACTGATTTTTAAAACTGCTCAAATTCATAAATTTCTTGATGCTTTGCCGATTTCTATCAATTTTTGGTTTTCAAAAACTACATCAAACTATTGAATGTAACTGATAGAAGAATTTCAATAATGAAATCTCAAATAAATCGTATAATTCAAAATAAATGTAGTTACATTCATATGCACTAAAAGCAAGGGAGAAAAAGAAGATTTTAGCCTCCAAAACCTCGCAAAATGTTTCGAAATCTTTGAAGTAATATGTTCTCTTAACTTAATGGACGGCCATATGAATAAGATAAAGTAAGTTTATGTGCGTGCATTTATGCTTGTTAGGCATCACGTACTCCCCATATATTTGCGAAAGATTAGACTAACTATGTATGGTGACTATGGGTAATGATAAAAAGTCGAAAATGATGTTTTGGTCTGTGCAGTGAAAGAGCTTAGAGCAGAATAATATATGATCATAAATCAACATATTTGTATCAATAGGTTGTATGATCTTATCAGTGTCTCATTTAAAATAAACTATATCCTCACATTACGTAGAAAAGTATATATAGCTTGTCCTTGTTGATTACTATTAGAGGTCTGATGTTCGACCTTTTCCTATGTTTATTTTCAAAGTCAAAAATGTCCTCACACACACGTACATATATCACATTCTGCACTTCTGCTCTTCAAAGAAGAAAAAGAACATATACAGCTGTTTTCAAAAAAACTTGGACATCTTGTTATGTCAGTATTTTCCTATATATATATCATTCTCAAACCTTTTCATATATTGGTTGATAGCCTACGACGAGTACTTTCGAACACTATATTTCAATATTTTATTCGTCCACCTTTAGAAGAAATAAGAGACAAACATCTATTTTTCATGGACATCACACAATTTTTTATAACATTAATTTCAGTATTTTTGAATTCTTCAGCTAAAAAAAGTTCAAGTTCGTCAATATTTTTGGGTTTTCGCTTTTCAACCTTTCGTTTTACGATCGACCAAATATTTTCGATGGGATTAACACCAAGACTGTTCGATGGCCAATCTAACAATTCCGGTACATTATTGCTGATGAATCGTTTACAAATATTACTTTGATGTTTTGGATCATTGTCCGACTGTAGACGCCAATTCTGACGAAATTATCCTAAAATGAAAAAATAAACACTATTGTTACATTGTTTCCGTTTGTTACTTACGCCGAGCAGCAGGAAAAAGAAAATTTTTAAGTATATAAGCATAATATGGACCATTAAGATTACATCTGAATGTGTGACAGGTCAATACACCTTTCACACTCACGGCACCCCAATCATGAACTTTTTGACGATTTTTAGGTACACATTTTGATTCATTTTTTGGATATTTTGTCCAACGACGAATAGTATTACGAAAGAGTTGAAATGAAGATTCATCTGTAAAAATTGTGCGTGAAAAATCATCATTTTCATGTTGTTTAGCCCATTGTACACGTCGTCGGTTTTCATCAGGTTTTAACATATGAGTACTTTTTGGTAAAACACTTCTATAACCATATTCATGAAGATGACGATGTATTGTTGGTGTAGATACTGATGAATGATACGTTTTCATTAATTTTTCTTTTATTTCTTTAAGGGTTATTTCATTGTTACGTCGAATATATTGATCAATAGCTTTTTTTTCTATCCCACTAAGTACACGTGGTCTACCATTTCCACCTCGATGTTTAAGTGAATTTGTTTGTTTCAATTTGTTGATATTGTAATAGATAGCACTCCGTGGAATATTTGTTTCCCGATGAATAACACAAGCAGATCGTATGCCTTTGTTCCAATAATGTAATATTGAGATATGATGATTTTTTAAATTACTAGTTGGTGTCATGATTAAGTATATATGTATCGAAAAGAAAAGAAATGACACTTCTGTATGGTGAACATATAGTATAGCTATCGATGATTCATCCCTAGAAATATTAGCTTTGTGATTGCTTTCAATGGCAAAAAAACCGTTACAAAAAAAAATTAATTTTGCCCAAGTTTTTTTGAAAACAGCTGTGAATAAGATTAACAGTCTGTCCAATACAGATGATTTGAGCACACATCTCACGAACAAAATCTTTTTTGTGTTTGATATCGTATCCATTTAGTCTCTACTAAATATTACTTGAAAATAAGAGTTTTTGCATTTTATTTTAGTACAATGTATGATAAATCACTATATACGTCATAAAAACTGGTGACTCTTAAGGTACTAGCTATTTATAAAACTTAGAATGAATCAATTGATAGAATGCTCCAGTTGTTAGCTAGATCACTTATCGAGAATCTAATAATTATGCCCCCTGTTCATTGTGTGTCTCAATTTCTATGGTCGGTGACATATATATAGACATGGAGTACGAATGGAAAATAGAGATCCCTAGAGCTTCGTTCAGACTCACACACATCCACACACACTCATACTCTCACACACATCCATACACATTCATACTCTCACACACATCCACACGCATCCACACACACTCATACTCTCACACACATCCACACCCACACTCACACACATCCACACCTACACTTACACCCTCACACACATCCACCCAAACCCTTCCGAAAATTCGCTGAAAATGAAATTATAATATCTGATCCAACGAATTTAGATGTAACTATACCAAAAGTTGAAAAAAGGGTTTTATGGGCACGATGGAAAAAAGCTCAATGGTGTGTTTTATCAGTTATTAAACGTAAGCTAATCTCGAATATAAACATTAATACTTTCCCTTTCAAAACAATTTTTTAATTTCTTTAGTTACAAATAAAATTCTTTATCGACGTCAATGTTTAATTGAAATTCAAAAACGTGTTCGTATGCGTCTAGTTTACAAACGTCATGCACCACGGTAGATCGAAATAAAAGCAAATATTTTTCATACCTATGTCTTCTTGTCAATATGTATTCTTAGAATTCGAGGTTTGATTAAAGTTAAAGCATTACTTGAACAAGTTGCTTCAATGGAAAACATTGTCGGACAAATGAAAGTTAATAAAGAACAAGTTTATAAGCAAGTACACCAATTAAGACAACAAATTGATCAATTAATTAATGAAATCACAGTAGGTTTGATACAAAATTTTTGATCAAATATATCTAGGGTCAGATGTATTTATCTAATGAGAATTGCCTATCATGCATTTTACACCATTAAAATAAGTTTTGCGAACAACATGTCTTTTAATAGCTGATGAGGGAATATTATCAACTGTCGAATCACTTTTCGCTTGTGCTAGCTCTGTAATAGGGGATGATCTTACTGAGCTGAACTTCTCTGTATATATATAAGATATGGCTTACATATATAAATCGATATGAAGCTGTTGGATGATATATATATATATTTGATCAAACAAGAAAATATAATAATATCAAAGATGATAACGACCAGCAGAAAAAAAAGAAAAAAAGAACATACATATATATATAAATATATATATGTGCGTAATATCAACTAGCTCACTCACGTGAGCGGTGTTTTCCAATCGATTGCGCAACAGAACGAAAATAAATAGAGCGGAACACTGTAGATGATAACCAACGACATCTACAGGTGCTCACAGTTTGAGACTCTTACTATTCGATCGGTCATGATGAGCAGTAGAAATATTCTGTTTTAGCTTGTTTTTCCAGTCTTCGCTTGTTGAGTTATGATCGTTTTACTCGTCTTTCCTTCTTCATAAGTGTAGAATTGTTGAGAAGCTAAATAATCAGATTTCACTCCTCGTTAGGCTCTATAGTCATTAGAAACATTCCAGAATATGAGTCAGAAAAAAACTATCCTTGTTAACATATTTACGTTGTAAAGAAACGTCTACTTTCAGCTACGCTTCGAAACAGAGACCTCTTTATAACAACCTGACATCTTAATCAATCAGTTTATCAATGTTTCTATGCATATAAGATAAAAATCGAATGTTAAGTCCATAACGCAATAATAGAAAACCGCAAAAGCCAGATTTAATAAATTTTTTACGACTCCGTTTGGCTAATCGAATGGTCATGGTCTCAAGCGAAAAACAATTGTACATTTGGACATATTACCTTAAAAGTTTCGAAGACTATCTGCTCGAATTCGCAAAAGTGATATCTGAGAGTATTTAAGCATTTCCGATTAATTACAACATTTTAGTAATCCCATAGAAAAGATGAATTCAAAGGTTCAAATGTGAAAGAATATTGGCTGGTTAATTGTTTTCAATAATATAGCATCTTGGATATATTAGAACAGCTTACAGCCTAGTGTTAATTACCCTTTTACGGAAAATATCAAAACATGATTCAAGTCAATTTTGATCAGAGCTTGGTGTAAAAAATGTAAGAGTTGATATGCGCTAGTTGGATTTCAATTCAATAGTTGAAGTTATTTCATCTACCCAATGAAAGGTTGAGAACTTTCAGGATAAGCACCGATTAATAAAATATAAATTGTGTCTAGTTCTTTTTCTTATTTAGAATACATCTATTAGTGAAACCAATATTGATGATGCGTGTGATGATCTTGTTTCATGCATTGGTCACGAATTTCGTCGATTACAACAAGCTCTCGATGATCAAGTAACAAAAGAAGAAGAAGAAGTTGTTAAGAAAATTGCAGTAGATAAACTAATAATCTCTATTCTTCAATGAATATAGGACAAAACATTAACTTTGAACATTTAGATGGAACTTGAACGTGAAAAAAATAAAATACTTGCTATAGAAATACGTTTAGAACAAGAAAAAGAAGAATTTCGACAGTAATAATTTTTATCAATTTTATTTTATTTATCTATTCAATTCTTCTATTAATATAGGTGTTCAGCTATTGCTCAGCGTCAAAAAGCAGAAGAACAGTTTCAAGGCAAACTTACTGCTGAAGAAACAAAATGTCAAGTAAGAGTAAATACAAAACATCAATGTCCTCAAATAAGGCTATCACATTTGTTTTTAGAAAGAACATCAAGCCAAAGAATCTGATGAAGAACCCCATCTAGCTGAATTAAATGAACGTGAACGTTGTGATTATGATATAGCTCGACGACTTGCTTTAGAAACAGGTGATAAAGCTGATTTACCACATTTAATACGAACTCGCCGTCCAGTTAGCGTTCAAAAATATGATTTAAGTAAATATACATACCATCAATTACGTGACTTAATCAGTACATCTTGCGGTAAATAAAATACGATTATAAGAATAGAAGAAAAAATTAATTATAATCTAGATTTCGAATTACTAGAAGCTTATCAGGAAGAACTTCATCTACGTTTGAAAACTTATGAACGATGGCTATCAAAAGATGAAAACACTAAAAATCCATCAGCTCCAGATAATAACATTGATGAAGATGAAGAACGAGACCCAAAAGATATTTTAAATAATGGTAAGTTTAATCCAGTAATATAATATTATATAAACTAATCCCTCCACTTAGAGATTGATTCCTATATAAAACTAAAGAGAATCGATGCTCGATGAAAAGTTTATCGATAATTACTTGATGCTCGTGATTTTTGACATTTTTAAAGTTAAGTATCGAAATGATATAGTATTAAGTCGATCTTGTAAATCTTTTTGTGAAGTTTTGACTTTTATAGAACATGTTCAGTCACAATTTGCTCCATTACTGTTAGTAGAATTGAATAAGCTGTTGTAAAAATACCCATGTGATTCGAACCGGAGAAAAACCACCGGTTGACCGATCGGTATAACGTGTGCTATACCGGTAGTATACCGCTGGTTTTTTTTTGAAAGTAATGGATCAATTTTTTTAATATCAAAACGACTGAAAATTTTTTAATTTTGTTAAAACTGTCAAAATTGGTATAACTTCGGCGGCACATGGTATTGTCAATGCACTAGGGTATGGGCGTGGGTGTGGTTGTCAAGAGTGAGGGTGGGTGTGGGTGTAACTACTCCATTCATCCACACCCACATCCACACTCACATCCACACCCACATCCACACTCACATCCACACCCACACCCACACCCACACCCTTAGATCGAGTTGAACATGTAATAAGTGAAAATTAACAAAAATATTTTCTTGCTTTTAATTCAGTACTTCCAAAAGAACAGCCAATTAAACAGCCAACACCAAGCTCAAAGCCACAAGCTGCCAAACCTCAAGCCATGAATGTCAATCCAGCACCTTCTCAATATCGCAATAGGGAACTCGAGAAGAACATCGAAGAAAAGAAAAATCAATCATTCGTGAACTTAGGTTCCAAAGGTTTAACGGATCAAGATATGAAAGTTGTGGTATATCGTTTGCTAAGAAGTAGTACAGTAAGAAAATTATTCTCACTTCTATTATTTAGAGAAATCGGAGAAGACCGGTGTTGCCAGATCTTCCGGATTTTGAAAGTTTTTCCGGGTTTTTTCTGGTTTCCAGCATTTTCCGGATTTTGAGATTTGCATTCCGGATTTTCGAGTTTGACATCTGGCAAAACTGGGGCAGGCCTTGTTTGCTTTTCATTTTGTAATACATCAAACAATAGAAAGCCGTCTATTTCTGTAAGCCTGTATTTTCACAAAATATTATGAAGCATCGAAATGTAATTTAAGCATACTCAATATATTACTTCCGCCACTCATGTGAAAACCAAACGCAGACCAGACGCGTTTAAACGCGTTCACATGCGATTACACGTAAAAGTCGAGATGCAATGCGTGCAGACGCGTTTCATAAATGCGTGTGAACACACCTGTACTAATGGTCGCGTTCAGACGCATCTGAAACCGAGACGCGTTTACTTGCTTTTTAGTACTAAACGCGTTTAAATTAATGATCGTAGCCAAACACATCCGACATAGGAATGCGTTTGTTCGCTGTTTCCTTCAAAACGTGGCTAGACGCGTTTCAACAAAAGTTTGCGCTCAAACGCATTTCTATGTGAGATGTTTTCAAACACGTTTAATTACGTTTCGAGAAATAGTCGCGTTCAAAAGCGTCTCAGTTCAAAACGCGTTTTACGAGTGACTGCAATAAAACGGGCCAAAATGCGTTCACGAGTACGCGCTTGTGTGAAAACGCGTTTGGATGCGTTTCAAAATAAAGTACAGACATGATTTTCGTTAATCATAATTAAGAAATCTCAAATAAAAATTGAAACGAATTGAATTTTTGAAAATGAAATATCTCAGGTTGGATCGATGATGCTTTATAATGATCACAATTATTTGATAACATAACTTAGTTGTTTAGAATTGAATTAAGGTGAAAATATGTCTGGTCAGATATCGATCGATGTAGGAATTTAACAATCCGTTTTAGATGATAATTAGGAGTGTTAATTTATTTTTACTTTATGAAATAAAAATGAAGAAGTTTTTTATTTCCGAAAAATAAATGTAAATCAATAAATGTGTCCTTATTATTTAAGAAATAAAGATATAAATATGATCTTTATATTCTCAATCCTGAAAGAATGAGTCTACACAACGTAGAATGCTGGTCAGATTGTCCCGAATTTGATTAGTCAATATTATCAAACAATCAGATTTCAGCAACGTAAAAAATACCAACCAATCAGATTTCAGCAATGTAAAAAATCAACCGTTTTCACAAAAATTTATTTTTTATCAATAAATTCATTTTAACATAAAAAAATATATTTTTGCAAAAATTTTTTTTTCATGAAAAGTCAACTGTTTTCATAAAAATTTATTTTTTATCAATAAATCTGTTTTTACATAAAAGAATATACTTTTGCAAAAAATTTTTTGAAAATAGTTGATTTTTTTATATCTGTAGAGCGCTTGTAAAAAGAAAGCAGGCATATGCTGTTTAAGGTTCAAATACTAATTTCTGGGTAGAATCCAGCTTCAGGAACTTCATACAGTGCTTAAGTGAGTGGTTAATAAAAGAATGGTACGAGGGTACAAAAAAGCGACGAGTCGGGAGTGGCGCCCCGAAGGGACACTGACGACCAACGGGGAACTGCTGTGGTGCCTTCAAATGAAAGACGTTTTCACAGGAAGTTTACGAGGAAATGTTTGATGTTTTCTTCGAGTGACCGACTAGAATAAAAAGAATCCAAAAGATATTACCCAATCTAGGGCCCCAATTGGTTTTTGAGAGCACTTTGCTGTTGTCTCTATTCTCTGCTTTCAGGATTGAGTCAAGCGAGGCCCAGTGGCCGAAGCGTTACTTGTTTATAAAATAAAGTAAAATGTTTGTTTATTTTCAAAAACAAAGGTGAAATAAACCATCAACAAAGATTTTTTTCTATGATAGATAGATCGAGAACTACCTAGTGTAACAATAGAATATATTAATGAATATTCTTTCGTATTGGCACATCACCCGGACATATCATATTATATTAAAAAAGCAAGTTGATACATGAAAAAATTTATGAAAAAAAATTTCTGCATATTCCATTTTTTTCATGATATCATAATTTTTTGTGAGCTACTTGGTAAAATTTAATGATTCGGTTCTCATTAAAGAAGATTGCTTCATTTTTCACTTTTTCTTTACTCATAAAGATTGATAAGAAAAATTCTTTATCATTATTTTGTAAATATAAAACGTTCGTCGTATTCATTTTATAAAAACAAGATAAAGATATTATCTATCTTTAGTTTTTTAATTAATAAAGATTTATTTATTTACATTGATTTTTCAAACATAGAAGAAGTACTCTGTGTTTATATTATTAAGCTAAAGATTTTCTTTATATTTATCCATTATTATAAAGAAAAATGAAAATAAAATAACACCCCTAATAATAATATACAAAATAAGAATTGCTTTTATCGTTTCATTCAAAATTAAATATTTCAGAAGATCATTTCGAACTTCATGTGCTGCACTAGAAGCAAATTTTAATTTTCTAAAGTTTTCGCGTGATAATGAAAGGAGACACTAAGGGAGAAACAGCTAAAATCAAATTTTTTTGATTTAAAATAAAAAATCAGCTGCTAGTTTTGATTAAGAAAACACTGCGTTTCCTAGTGTTTTATTTGTAATTCAAACGAAATATCGTTTATCCATCGCAACATCCACTATCTATAGATTTTCCAATTAAGAAACGGCTTTTCTGTCGGCATACATTTGAAATACAAAGGAGCTATATCATATATGAGATCTAGCCCCCTAAAAAACTTCGTCTAATCTTAGGAGGAGGAGAGTTACCATCAACCTCTTATTGCTTTTGATAGTCTTTTTCATTTATCACAAGTGAGTTTTTTAACACCTGGGCTCTGCTTCAGGCGAGTAAATTTTTTATGGTTGTTCTATTAGAAGTCTATGTAGTCTGATGAGGCTAGATGCACTGACCAGAAATATTGCATCTTTTTAAAGTGCTAAATATAGTCAGAAAAATCTGAAGCACTGTCTGGAAACTCTAAAAAAGCAAATTTTCGCCTCAAATCAGAGACCCTGATAGGTCACTACACCTGCCCAACTGCCATATTTTCATGAAGTTTTTTCTCAGAAAGTCTGTCCTTTACCAGAAAGCGAATGCATCATACTGTAATTTAGAAAATATTTCCTAGGGAAGATGAGAAATAGGTTTTTTAATTAAAAGCCTTCACATACAATCTTGACTGTTGATGGATTGGCGCTGCATTGCATCTAACCTATTTTATGTAGTAAATTTATTCCCTTTGGGACGTTACTCTTCGCAGATTTGCTTTCCTTATGATTAAAGGTTTTTATAGAAAGCGTTTAAGAAGTTTTACGTTACTAATTTATATTTATACAGTTGTAATATGGCTAAATCCAGTACTTGACAAATCCTCTTGAGAACGTTGATTAAATAAATTCCATAGGTTATTGTCCAAAAAATAGAGTTTCTCTCATATGTTGGTATTGGTTGGCTCTAGTCAGCAGCCACATAGTAGAGTAAATCATTAGATACTCTGATTAATCATGATATTTTGATATCAGTAACTTTTTTCTCTGATAAAGATAGCTTTCTACTACCAGAGATGGCACCAGTTCGGTTCAGTTCTTTTTAAAAAAGGATTCAGTCCAGTTAGGTTTAAGTTTTGAAAAGTCTGAACTGATCCTATTTCTGTTCTCTACTTCTATTGAAGTCTTCTCCTAATATTCACATGAAAAATACAGTGGAAATATCTTAGCATATAGCCAGGCTAGATCGATGAAAACAAAAAGCAGACACAGGTAACCGGTAGAGGTTCATACGCTCTCTAGAGCAGTCAAAGTCTGTGAAAACTGGACTGCTTGGGTCTCTGCTACATAGATTATTAAAAGAAGAACTAGATTTGTTGACAATACGTTCGGATTAAGCAGAATGTTTTTTACCATCACAATTTACTACAATATCCTAAACATTTGATGCTTTGTCTATCAATAAATGTCAAATACCACACCCCCCCCCTCACCCCAGTCGGATTCTCTTATGCCTAATAAAGTATTTTTGGATTATTATG